TATGTGTGCGCGCGCGCGTGTGTGTGTGTGTGTATATATATATATATATATATATGTATGTATTAGAATCAATGTTGCACGCATTGTCGTTGCCTATAGTCATATTTTTTGTAAGAGGAAGCGATTATGAATATTTACACGTGGAAAAGTGAAGTTTGCCTTTTCAATCATAATTAATTAGATACTATTAAAAATTTTTAGTCGTTAAAAAAATTTCAATGCTTTCAAGATTTTCTTTATATTACTTTAAGCATACATGCCTGCTTTCAGATAAATGAGTTTAAGAGTGTATTAATGGAACGGAAAATGTGAAAAATGAAGAAAAATAAATAACTTAAAACCTTAACATTTTACGTTAATCAATATTATGCATACATGCCAGTAGTGCTAATAGAGCATATTTTTTTATATACCGTCTCCTGATCTGCTCATAATCGCGCTCCATGATGATTTGTTGTTTGTCTGATCCAAAAAAGGAGCTTGTGATGCATTTTGTTGTGTCGGCAGTAAAGAATGTAGGGATGTTGAAACAGTGGTCCCTGCTGCGCATTGTGCTGTTGAAGAGACAGTCTGCAAAGAAATATTAATTTTAACATCTTGGATTAAATATAATATGCAATTTAAACATTTAATACAATTTATATAATATAATTTATATAATACTATTTATATAATATTCCTCTTATTAAAAAATGTTCATAGAGACGAGATTATAGCTGCTTTATCATGTAATGATTAAAATTAATTAAACTAAATCCGAGAGATCAACAAAGAGAATAAAATAAAATACAGAAAAGATAATGTAACATTTTAATATAACTATTTTATAAAAGAAATAATTAGATGAGGCAGGTATGATACGTCAATTCACTAGATCTCAGGATCTCAATTCTGATCCTATACACATATGCCTTTTATAAAATTATAAATTATTATAGATTACACATAAATATTTATGATTTAACTAGAAAGTAAAAAAGTATGAAGTGAATTATAATCCAGGAATAATAAATTCTTTTCATTCCTTTCTCTATAAAAGAAATATCTGAAATAAAACTTACAGTAGTGTTATCTAATGAAGTTGCTACTGTGATGGTAGTAGTAGTGGTCGATGATGTTGAATCCTTAGTAGTAGCCCAACCACTTCCTCCACTTGGCACAAGACTGACAGCTGGGTCACTGCTGCTAGTTTCACTTTTTAAACTGGGCAAATTAGCTGGAGGACGCCGTGCCGAAGGCACCTTTCCAAGACTTTGCATTCCATGTTTGCGCGGTAATGTATTTTTCTGCTGATGTGGCTCCAAAGATTCGCCCTATTTGAAAATGTCAATTGGAAACATTTAACTAGTTTGCACTGTAGACAGAAACTTTTTTCTCGAATAGTATAAGTATTAAAAAAAATTGTACAAATGCTTAAATACTATTTTATGTATGTAATAATCATATATTAATAATTAATAATGTATTAAAATATGTATATGTAAGACTGGTAAAATTAAAAATTATTAAAACTGGCTTATCTAAGTTTGCAATAAGAGATTTGTAAACAAAGGCAACTCTTAGAGAACTAATAAGAAAAAGTAATAAAATGTTGGCCAACTCACCCTACTCACCCGGTACAAGCTATTGATATCTAATGATTGAAACTTGGATTTTCCTTTCTCCCCCTTCGACACAATCCCTGACAGAGTAGACATGCTGTCTGCACGCAACCATTTAGTACCAATCAGACCCAAAGAACGAACCCTTTGTCTGCAAGGACAAAATTATCTAAATACACTTTCCTCTTCTTTGTTAATATTAAAAAGACAACTGTAATTTGAGAAAATCATGGTAAAAAAATTAATTATATTCAAATAAATATAATAATTTCAATACTAAACATATTTTGAAAAACTTTCTTGAATATATTTTATAAATATATTTATATATTATATAAAATATATTCTTAAAAATTTTAATATATGAAATTAATACTATGTTCAATAGAAAATTTAACATCATAAAAGCTACTTATACAAATATACATCATCTATAAATATATATCTACAGTATTTATTCAATAGAATAGATAATCAAGCAAGAATCACGATATATTACAACAGATTGTAATATCAACACAATAAACGTTGTAACATATAGCATTATTCAAGTACTTCTAAACAGTCTAAGATCAACTTCCTATAACGCAGCAACGTGCCAGCTCTAATTCCATAATAATTCGTTTCGGTAATGCGCGAAAGTAGCTTAGTTTCTAAAACGCGCAAATGTCGCTCGGCGAGGAAGTGCGTTAGCAGTGCGTTAGTAGGCTCCGAGAAAAAGCTTTGTCTGTCACGCTGACAGAGAAACGCTCGCGCGGATGATAAAAAAGATCGAAGTAAAAGCGACGAAAATAACTCGTTGACTTATTGTGAATGCTTTATCTATCGCGGTGTCACGACGAGGGGGCAGGTGTGCTCTTGGGCGACCCAACCCCTCGGTAGCCGTGCTGATGTCAAAAGATCGCGAGACCGTTCAAAACAAGGTATGATCCGCTCAAGTAAGTACGCGGTTCGTTCGTCGAGAGAGAGAGAGAGAGAGAGAGAGAGAGAGAGAGAGAGAGACGGGCACGACGAAACTGAGACGTACTATCGTGGTTTTCGCCGCGATAACGGTACACCCGTCGCGTCGGAAGAAAGCGGACGGGCCGCGCGCGGAGAGGGCAAGGGGAGGGGAGCGGACGAACGAGGGAGGAGGAGGGGGGGCATCGGATACAGACCGAGGAGCATCCACGTAGGAAGGACTTGGCGGCCCCATGAAGCCGTGGCGGAATTAGGAAAATAACGACTTACCTTGGTCCGTCCAAATGGGTTGCCAATTCACAACAGGGTTAACTCCCGGTGAAACTAGATTAACGCGCGGATCGCCACGGATTACACACCACCTAACGACACGACGGCACCGCGGCCTGACGGGGACGCAGAAATACCTCTTTTCTATCAATTCGTCCAAGATGGCGAATGCGCGACTCTCTCGGGTCCTTCCTCCGCCGTGGATCAATACAATTACGTCACGTTCTCGCCAAGGGGAACGCGCGTTCTCACAGACGCGCCACTCGTCGGCGGATCCCGGCTTGGCCGCGACGTGGCTAAAAAAAACCGATTCTCGCCCCCTCGCGTAAACGGATCCCCGCGATCGCGACTGCTGGTGAACCCGCTGTGTCTCGCGGTCCGTCCAACGATGCGTCGTAGGTTACTCCTTACGGAAATGGAGCGCCCCGGGGAGATTCACGGAATCACTATTTCCGCTCGTCTCGCCACTGTCCGTTGTGCGACGTGCGTGCGGTAGGAGAGTGGACGGGTGGACGCACGCAACACGAGAAATAGTGCATCTCGCCGCCATTCGCGGCGCTGCTTCGCGCGAATTCCTTTCGTTCGCCACCGACGGGATCAAACCAGATCAAAAAGATGCCAATGATGCCACGCTATTTATTTTTCTCCTCGCAATGTGCAACAAGATTTTCTTCGTCATTCAATGATTTAGCGATCTTCTCTTTCAAACGCGAAAACTTCGTTTTACGCCTACAAATTCTTTTTTTTTTTAATATACGAATCATGCTAAAGTATGTGCCAGACTATATTAATGTTGTTACGAAAGTATCGATACAAAAATAATAATAATAATAATAATAATAATAATAATGCAATAATGATAATTATTAATTAATAATATAATAATAATTTAATATGTATTATAATAATATAAATATCATACTTCTATATAATTGGTGATCGTTATGGATGCTATTTGACTCCAGATCCACGCGCATCTCGTGCACAAATTTCAGCTGCACTTCCTGCACTTCCTCTTTCCGACATTACGTTTTTGAGGATTCTAGCAGCAGAGAGGTTTCTCTCTCTGCTAGCAGATTCTCATTAATTTTCGCAAGTTCTCGTTTGACCGCACGAAGGCGGTAAAAGTGCAAGGATTTAATTGTGGAAAAATTCATTTGCTACCAAATCAAAAATTGTTGAAGTTACTTTAGATTCTTCGAGTTGAATGCATGACGTACATTGTGAAAAATGGTATATTATTTATAATATTTTATAACCTATTTTATAACCTATTTTATAATCTATGTGATTTGAATGATGGAAATATTGTTTTTTTAGAGCGTAACGTTGCATACGGATGTCGGCGACGTTAAAATAGAACTATTTTGCGAGATGTGCCCGAAGACATGTGAGGTATGAATTTTCTAATATATTATTCTGTAACAATGTAATCCTATTGTTGTTTAGGCTGTAATCAAAGTCTCGCTTTGAAGTCTTTGATGGACCAATTAGAAAGAATTTTACGAACTGATTAATTAAAAAATACTTCAAAGCATTTGCAATATCGCATTGATTCTTAATAAGGTATAATCTATATCTTCAGTTATTTTTGTTGAATAGATTTATAGGACTAAATAATTCTGATATAAGTCCTTGATTAATATTACAAGTATTGGTTGTCTATCAATTAATGTACCTAATCATAAATCTTTAAATCTATTATATTTCTGCAATAACAGAAGTATACAAGAAAAAGATAATAGGTGTAGATTATTCATAGATTATGTTCAATATAATATTATACAAAAGAACAGATCACAATTCAATTTGAGTTAAACATTCTTAGAGATTAGTTGTACTTATTTACAAAAAAATCATTGAACTTATCTAGATTTATCTGTATCAATATCTTATTGTTATTGTAAGGCTAACTGCTTGATATTATGATCTAGATAAAAAGAGACGAGCAACAAGTTTAATCTCAAAGATTGATGTCATTGTAATTAATTTTATGATAATTATCACATTTCAATTTTTATATATTTTTATATATTTTTATTTAAATATTGTGCTAAATAATCCTGAAGTAATTAGAAATATCATATTAATTCTGAGAAAAAAATATTTAACTTTGTAATACAGACATTGACATTCTTGTTTCAGAATTTTCTTGCGCTTTGTGCCAGTGGATACTATGACAATTGCCTGTTTCACCGGAATATAAAAGGCTTCATTGTCCAAACTGGAGATCCCACCAATACGGGTAAAGGAGGAACCTCAATATGGAATCGCAAGTTTGAAGATGAATTTAAAGAGGAGCTTAAACATAATGCAAGAGGTCTCATTTCTATGGCTAACAATGGCCCTAATACAAACGGCAGTCAGTTTTTCATTACTTATGCGCCTCAATCACATCTGGACCTAAAATATACTTTGTTTGGAAAGTAAGTTTGTCCTTTTACTTAAGCTTATGCCATACTCAGAAATTTCGTCAGGCTGCACTTAAGTATTCATTTTAAATATCCTTATTGTTCAATGAATGTACAAGGATAAAATAATACTTGGATGAATCTGGATAAAATTTCTGCACAGCCCTAATAAGAGCATTATAAAATCATGATATTTGATTTTTTGTTCACTTTTCACAGAGTTATTGATGGTTTAGAAACCTTAGAACAATTGGAAAAACTACCAATAAACCCTAAAAATTATAAACCACTTGCAGAAATCAGGATAAACAATATAACTATACATGCTAACCCATTAGCGGGATAGATCTAAGAGATGAATGTTTTTTAACAACTACATCATAATAATACAAGTAATTTATACTATTTCTTTTATATATGAAAAAAATACAAAATGTGTTTATTAAAACATACATACAATTATTTTTTACAGTTGATTTAGAATTGAAAAAATATCAATAAGTATTTTTTATATTGTGTATATACCTAATAATCTCTTGTTTTGTGGATCAAATGGACTTCGAAGATACATCTTTGCGGGATACTTTTTCCTGCTCATTTCAATATGGTAAGTACCTGTTTCTAAAAATTCTTTTGTAACATTTTGTCCATTTGGAGCTGTGATATATCTGAAAAAAATAAAAAAGATATATATATTAATTTTACATATACAATATAGATATAATATTCATATTTATTCATTATGCAATTTACTTACGCCTGTCCAATACTACTCTTAAAGGTATATCCATGTTCAGCCCTTCTTAGATAACCAACTAATTTATCGTTTCTATAAACACTCTCCATACCCCATAATGGTATATCACTGTAAAAAAATAAGTACACAAATGTGACACGCATTTTAAATATTAACACCAACAAGATCAGTGTCAGATTGTAAAATGATGTACTTACTCATTTATGTGTAAATGTACTAATCTTTTTTTAATTCCATTGTTACGGCATTGATCCACAAATGTTTTTCCTAAGTATTTGCCATTTTTGCGACAGACGATTTCTAAAGCCGCTTCTATTGGATTATCATCCGTTCTTAAGTCTGTACCCCAAAGATGATATCCTAATAGATAAATTAACAATTAACACAGATAGTAAGAGATAAAAGCATTCTGTATATCATTGCGCACCTTTCTCACAACTTAAACTGTAGAGCGCTCTATAGCCGGCTAATTTCATATCATATTTTTTACCACATTCCATTAAAGCTTTGTAAACCTTTTCGCACGAATTTCTTGGAATATGTAATTCGAAACCAAGTTCACCCACGAAACTAAGTCTAAATATGTGTACCAATTCACTATTTATTCGCACTAGTTTTGATGTTGAGAATGGAAACGATTTATTCGAAAGATCATCATCGACTAACATCTGAAGAACTTGGCGGCTATAATAATAGTAAAATATTATATGGACGATATATGAAAAATATTTTTTAACAATTACATATATA